TTTTTTAATTAATTGTAGAAATTATAAGCAACTTTGAAACTTTAAGCAGATATTTTTAAAAAAAAGATAATATAAAATATATGATTTAGTTATATATTTAAAAAAATTAGATATTATATTATATTTATTAAAAATTATTTAGTTTTTAAAGTTATTGTTATAGATATTTTTTGATTAATATATAATATATATGATAATGTAATAGCAGTATTAAAAACAATATAAATAACAATATAAATAACTATATATAAATAATAACACAAGCAAAAATAAAAATAATAATATAATATAGATAACAATATAATAATAATATCAGATTTGAATCCTATAGCTTAGCAGATAAGCTTTCAAACTCTTTATAAACAAGATTAACAGTTCAAAACAGACTAAAAGCAATTTTAACTTTATAACCTATTAGAGCTATTAATCAGATATAAAGTTCTATAAAAAAGTTCAAATGCAAATATATATTTGAATAAAGAAATTTTTAAAAGAAGATTCAATTGTAGAGTATAAACACTATATATAACAAGCAGTTATTACAAAAAGTCATAGTTATAAAAAGATTGTGTATATAAGTTTTTCAGGCTAGAATAACACCAACATTTTTATATCTTTTAATATAGATAATACCAACATCTTTACACCTAACTTGTAAGGTACTTGTTTGGAAAGATAATTAATAAATTGTATAAATAAGACCTAATTAAAAACTAAGACAAAAATTAAATTAGAAGAATAGTCTGAAAGTAATCAAGCCTAAAATAGTAAGAGAAGTAGTAAATATAAGAATAGCTAGTAATAAAGAATTAATTTAATCAAAAATTAAAAACATTTCTAATATAACTAAATAATTTAAATATAAAAGAAAAATCTTAAAGAATATTATATAATTTTTTTGTATAATATAAAAATACTAAATTAGGTTTTAGTTATATTTATATAAAAGTCTATAATGAACAAGACTAGAATTAACTAACTAATATAAGATAAAATATGCAAAATAGTATAACATCACTGAAATTAGTATAACTTTTTGAGTATAATTAGAATTGTTCTGCAAATATTATTAAATAAGCTAAAAGCTTGCAATATATAATAATATAATATTATTAGGGTTAAAAGAACTTCTTAGATATAGTTAAAATTATTTTGTTTGTAAATATAATAAGTTCAGTTCTTATTATAAAAAAGAACATCTTGTTAAAGATTAAATACAATACTAAATTATTGTATAATATTAAGACCTGAAGTATTTACAAAAACAATATCAACAGATCTAACTTGAGATATAAATTAACAAAGACTAATAGAAGTAACAAGTCTGACTTGAAATATGAATTTATTGTAAATCCTAAACTATTATTAAAACATCTTAGAAGAATCAATAACAGATATATTAAAGATAAGAGATCAAAAAGATCAGACATATTTGAGTAGAACCAATATAAAAGTAGTATAGTAACAAAAAAATAAGAAATATAAGAAACAAAATATTATTAAATATAATTAAATTAAAAGACAGAAGAAACAAAACCAGATAAAATATATAAATAAAATATATGAATACAATTACAAAAAACAATATTCTTGATATTTAGATATTCTTAACATTTAGAATATATATTAAGTTTGATATATATTTTTGTTTGTATAGTGATTTAATAATATGTTCTAACCACAAGTAGTTACTAAGATAACTATATACAAATATGCAACAGATATATACTTAAGTGCTATATAGATAACTGAATAAAATCAGTAATGTAAAATTAGATAGCAAATATAGTATTACTAATAATTAATTTTAAAAAATATATAATTATAAATTGTATTATATTAAATTAAACTTAATAAACTAATTGACAATATTATCAAAGTTAATAAATAATAATAATAATAATAATAACAATATCAAAAAGGAGTATGGCAACCTAGTGAAGTGAATAGGTTGTTAACCTCCAAGTGGCAGGTCTAGAGTTTAAATCTTAGTAATGATGAAAATTTGCAATTCTTTTTGTATTATGGCTAACTGTCTTTTGTGATTAGTTGAAATAAGATACCTATAACCTATGTCATATCAGCATAACTGAAAAGCCTAGACACTTATACAACATTGTATAAGGAAACACAAACTAGTACCAGGTGGTATTGTTACAAAGTAGATTTTAGCATAGTATATTATAGTAGTATTAGTAATTATATATTTATTCTTTATTGTATTTTATATCTTATATTTATTATTATTAGTTATTAGTTATTAGTTAGTCGATAGTTATATTATATAGTAGATAGATAAAAGAATCTTAATTGGCTATTAGAAATGTGGTACAGCCACATGATACTGAATAACATCTGTGATGTTATTATCATCTTATAAACCCCAAGTACCTCTGTACAAGTTTCATGTATCCTAGTACCAAATTACTGTGCCAAGTGCCATAGCACAAAAATTACAAGTATCCCCAACATGAATCCCAAGTGTTCTCGTATAAATCCCAAGTATCTTTGCACAAATTCCAAGTGCCTTTGCATGGATTCAAGTGCCTAAATACAAGCTCCAAGTGTTTTAAGTACAAATGACAAATGATATAAACAATATCTTTAGTTGCCTCTGCACAGTTCTTACTACTCTAAGCACAGTATTATTTAATGTTGTTTGAATCTCCATTATCCCAACTATAATGATATCTAATGTTGTTCGAATCCCTATTACCCCAAGTATAGTATCAAGTAATGTTGCTCAAATCCTCATTATCTCTGCTAGATAAAAAGATATATAAAGAATAGCTTTTACTCTTTTTTGTCAATTCTAAGTTTCTATACTTCAATCTAGATCTTTCTACCTTTACTTCTAACTTGTAAAAGTGATATTCACCTTTTAAAGTAATTCCTACAGGCAAGATTGTCACTATGTATTTATTTAATAAAAGTTAATCTATATACTGTTACTATCTCAAACCATTTGCCTGCTACTATATAGTAAAGTAAACTACTACATCTTCATCTTATATATATTTGCAATAGTCAATCACTGTATTAGGTAACCTTGTTACTTGGTTGTATTGTATCAAGAAGGCTACAACCCTATAACAGTATAAACCCAAGATAAGCCCTTAGGTTATATAAATCATAGAAACCAGATAGGAAGATGAAAGCCTACTTGGAAGACTCGAATAGAGAGATAACTTGAACCTTTGATGATACTACTATAAAGACTAGACTTATGAAATAAAGTTAAACTTGTAAAACTGAGCAAATGTATCAGTCTTTGAAAAAAAACTAGATAAACCAACCAGACTGCCAAAATTTCTGGGTTTTAGAGAAAAAAGATATATGTTAGCAAATATGTAAATCAGAAGTATGGTCTTATCCTACTTTTCCAAACTATTTAAAATAGCAATTTGATAGAACTTGAATTAAATATCAAAGTAGTAAGGATATGTTGTGAAGTTAGAACTGAGATTAGAATAAACTTTACAAAGGCATAGCAGTTTAATGATATGCCCTAATTACCAGTATTGGTCTCGACCATAGCGATATCAGGTCAGCTATAAGAATAGGATACAGAAGATTCTAAAAGGTTTAGTACAAGATCAAAGATTCCTCATATAAGTAAACTGCTTTAAAAACTTAGTAAACATAATATATTTTTATCAGCATTGGCCAGGGTTGTTAGTAGGCAGAGGTAGCTGAATGGATACGAAAACAGAATGATTAAATAGAAAACCTACAAATAAATTTCAGGTATGACAACTAGTATAGAACCTTAAAGCAAACTACTTAAATTAGACAATGATTAAAGTTGTACAAGTGACTAGTTGTACATTCTCTCTATGGTTGCCTCCTATGGTTGTAATGCAACCATTAGCCAAATATACTATCAATAAAATCCTGGGTCACAAATACTCATCTTAATATTTTAAAAAAAAAATAATATCAAAAACAATATAAATAGCAATATATATGCATCAACACAAGTAAAAATAAAAATAATAATATAAGTAATAATATAAGCAACAATATAAATAAAAAAAAAATAAAATACAATTTTTTACAAATAATCAAATAACTTGCAATTGTAATATATGAAAGTAAGTCTATAGAAAAAAGCCAAATTTTTTTTAAGTAAAAGTTTTCTTGACTTTAAGCTTAAATATTCCAACAACTATTTTATTAAATTTAATAAATTTTTTTATTTTAATTCTATATAATTTCAAGATTAAAATAAAAAAAATTTTAGCAAATTTGATTAAATAGTTGTTGAGTTATTTTAATTTAAAAATTAAAAAAAATTTACTAAAATGATTTGTCCTTTTTCTATTGACTCCCTCTTATATATTATAATATAGTAGGCACAGATTTTCCGAATGCATCAAAAAAGTAATTTCTGTACCACTTTAACATCAATTAATGTTCTCCGCTACACCGTCAAATCGATGTATCGGTATTTTATAAATTAAAATTTGGTTTGCAATTTGTTCGTTAAACCGGTGAATCTGATCTAAAGGCGATCGTATGTACATTTTTTCCAAATAATTAATTGAATCATGTGATTTGATCACTTTTCTGAGTTTAATTAACGAGAAACGAGTCCAGTAACTATATCAATGGTACTAATTATCACACGAGTATGATTGGCCGTTGAGAATAAGTGAAACGATGTTCAATTTGAGGGCAGATCAGCTGATTCATTAAGATGACGCGAGAGCAAACGCGAGTTTAATGTTTTGATACCTTTTTTGATCATCGTGACATTCAATAACGCGCAAGCCTTTTATAATCAAAATAACATCAAAAAGAATCAGTTACATTGACGCGACGGCTTGAACCATTATATAAGGACTGCCTTCAATTTTCAGTCACTTTTAATTACTGTTTGCTCTGTTCTTCCGAACTAATAATAACCGCATTATTCTATTAAAACATTATAGATTTTATACTAAAATAATAAAATACATTTACCATTGTTTTAACTTATAATAAACACAAATTATAAAATGGCCAAAGAAAAGACTACAAAGAAATCAACTGGTGGCGGTAAATAATAACAATAATTACTATTATGATTATAATATTCTTGTTTTATTATTCTTCGCTTATATATTAAAAATAATTTCAGCCAAGAAGCTTACACCTTACAATAGGTTTATGAAGAGTGAACTTGGCAAAATTAAGACTGAAAATCCTACCCTAAATCATAAAGAAGCTTTCAAAATGGCTGCTCAACGTTGGAAAGACTCGTAAGTTTTACTTTACAAATATATTAAGTTTTATTTTTTTTTATGGTTATGTATTAATTTTATTTCCGATTTTTTTTTATACTAATTTTATACTAATAGAGCCGAAAATCCTAAAAATCAAACGAAATAGACTTTAAAAGTTCCTTACAAGGGTCGTAATCCAAACTTTTTTTGAATTATGATATTGCTGCATAGTTTGGGTTTGGAAATCTGGATTTCTACTTCATTTGGGATAATAACCAAAACTAAATATGGCGTACATTTATTTCTTTTTTTTCATTCTGACAAGTGTTTTATTAAAACATATAATGTTTTATAATTGTACATGTTTATATTATATGTAGTTAGAAGTAAATCAAAACATATACAATAAAAACTATACAAAAATTTGACAAAGTTATATACATTAAAATAATGTTGTACATGGAAAAAAAAATTTCTTTAAATTTTTTCGTTGCGAATTATGGTGATCAAACAGTCAGATCTTGGGTTACATTACGTCATCATATAACATGACTTTTTTTTTTTGAAAATATGATACGTACAACCTATTCAACGCAGAATACAATGTCAAATCCACAACAATTTCAATGCCGCATGTATGAGGCAAAATACCCTGAGGTTGACGACCTCGTTATGGTCAACGTTCGTCAGATCGCTGAAATGGGTGCCTATGTTAAATTGGTATTGTTAAATGTTTTATATTAGCGTTTATAAAGGACCTTTTCTAAAAGCTTTTTTGGAATTCCTCCTCGCTTAGCTGGAATACGATAACATTGAGGGTATGATTCTTTTATCTGAGCTGTCTAGAAGGCGTATTCGTAGTATACAAAAGTTAATTAGGGTTGGAAGAAACGAAGTGGTAGTCGTTTTAAGAGTTGATAAAGAAAAGGGTAAGGTTATTGTTATATTTTTGTGATTTTTATCTTTTTTTTTTTTTTTTACACAAATTATAATGGTCTTTACATTTATGCGATTATGGTTTTATAAGGTTATATCGACCTGTCAAAACGTCGGGTTTCGCCTGAGGATGTTGCGAAAGCTGAAGAGAAGTTTAATAAATCTAAAGCAGTTTAGTTTGTTTTTGTGTTTTTGTGATAAATCAATCTTTTATAGAAGTATTGATTAATTTATAATTTTCTTTAGGTTCATAGCATAATGCGTCATGTTGCTGAAAAGCAAAATCTTGTTCTCGAGAATCTGTACAAACAAATTGGATGGCCATTATACAAAAAATATGGCCATGCATATGAAGCGTTTAAATTGGCGATCACGTAAATCTAAGATCTTTTTGTTTTTAAAATGTTTTTTAAATAATTTTAAAAAAATTTTTTTTCCTCTAATATAGCGAACCAGAAAAGATTTTTGAAGGAATCGATATATCTAAAGAAATCAGTGATGAATTACTAAATAATATTAAACGAAGATTAACTCCACAGCCAAATAAAATTCGAGCTGGTATGTTAAAGTTTTTATAATATTTAGTCGCTTCTTGATTTAAATATTGTTACTCTATAGATATCGAGGTAACTTGCTTTGGTTATGATGGTATCGATGCCATCAGATCGGCCCTTAGAGCTGGTGAAGCATGTGAGACCGACGATATGTCAATTAAGGTAATTTAATCTCTCATTTAAGTTATATTTTTATAAATTATTCGATGTCATTCTAAAATTTGGTTATATGAATATTGTATATTAGGTTAAATTAGTCGCCCCACCATTATATGTCATGATCACCAATGCATTGGATAAAAATCTAGGAATTGAAATGCTAGAAAAAGCCATTCTTACAATACAACAAACTATTGAGAAATCTGGCGGAAACCTTTCAATCAAAATGAAGGTTAGTATAAATTTATTCTTTGTTTCATTTTCTATCCATTTATCAAATTTTTACTTTTATAATTAGCCGAAAGCTGTGAGTGAAGCTGATGATAAAGAACTTGCCGTACTTATGGCTAATGCTGAAAGAGATAATGCTGAAGTTTCGGGTGATGAGGAGAGTGATGCTGAAGCTGCTGAAACAGATTAGAGTTTAGAACCGGGTCACTCGTGTCAAAACGGTTCAACCGGATCAAAAATTTACAACTCGGGGCAAAACGGTTGAATATGTAACCTCTAAAAATCTGTTACTATTACACAGAAACCTAAAAATATAACACATTATTATATGTTGAAAAAAAAACACCCTTTTTTTTCTTTGTAATTTATTTAAATGCTCAATTCCGCTAATCTGGATTTAGAAAAAAGCTAAAAACTTTCAGAGCTACCATACGACTATCTATGCCTTCATTATTATTTTCTTTGAGCCGGGGTTTGGGTTACGTAACGCATGAATTGCGTGATCGCAGTAGTATATATAAAATTAATAAAATTGATTAAGTCTAATACATACATTTCAATAAGTTGACTAAGGAACAAAATGTTTAGAACTATGATATCTAACTTTCTGTTTTACAGGTTTTGCATACCAAGTTCGTACAAACTGATAGTCAAATTCATACAAACTAACAGTCAAATTCGTACAAACTGACAGTCAAATTCGTATAAATTGACAGTCAAATTCGTAACACTTATAATATCTCATGACCTAGTAATTTAAATTATGTAAATTTGATTCGTCGAAATAAGATGAATAAATGGTAAATTTACATAATTTAAATTACTAGGTCACGAGATATTGCGATTTAATTATAAGTGTTATGTACGAATTTGACTGTCAGTTTGTCTGTCAGTTTGTACAAACTTGGTATGCAAAACTTGTAATATTAAACTGTATTCTAACTTTAAATTTTGATAAAAATCTAATTACGTATAATATAGAAAAGGGTTATAAATAATTTCTAGTATAAATTATATAAGATTAAAGTGGTTGGCATTGAAGTTAAGGGTTTTGTTATATGTATTGACTTGATCAAAAAATCTAGAAGAGAGATTGATAGGAATATTGATTGTGCATTTGTTGGCAATTGTGTAAGAATTAAGAGAGCAACCTGGACATATTTGTGATTAAATAGATGAAGGTAAATATAAATGAGTAAATTGTTGTTCAATATAACATTATCAGTAAGTAATAAGGATGATTCCTGAAGAAGAGAGCTGTCTTCTGGCTTTGTTAGTAATGATTTGGTTATCAAGTACTGTAATAAGTCATGGTTTTTTCCTTAGAGAAAAGTATCCAGTTAAATAACTATAATAGTTTGTATTAAGTAAGTATAAATGTTAGTAGAGAGTGTGATTGTATGAATAACTTGTAATTTGGTCTTCTAAATAATTAAACCAAAATGGTTGTTTGTCTTTAGAGATTTTGTTTATATATGTGGATATGTGTTTTCAGTCTAAAAAGCATGAGTTATCAATGTAATTAGTTGGTCTAAATAAAGGATACAATGGATCTCCTATCTAATTTTTCATACATTCATTTCAAAAATTTCTCAAAATTTCAAAACATTTTATTTAATACAAACTATCCATTATCAAGATTCAAAATATTCTCTCTTTCAAATTGTCTCAAATCTCTTTCAACTACTCAACTTATTAATTCTAAACCATTTATCTCAATTACAAACATTGACAACAATAACTTATTTCTAGAAAATCCAAATACAAAATCAATTAAAATACATTCTTTAAATGTAAATAGTCTTCTTGATAATTTCAAACAACTAAGCTTAATTGATTTTATTTCAAAAAACCAAATAGACATATTTGGTATTTCAGAAACACATTTATCTATTAAAAAGACAAAATATTCTATACTTTCTTAAAAACTAACAAACTACAAAAGCTTTTAGACACTTAGTAATACTCATCAAGGTGATGTAGAAATATTAATTCATAAATTACTAGTTAAACATATTGGAAAAATCCAAACTTTCAAAAATTTTCTTTTAGAAATTGACATTTTCTTTATATTAAACTAATTTAACTCTACTTTCCAAGTCAAAAAAAAAAAAATTCTAAAAAGATATTATTTCATATCGCTCTTTTATTCTAAACAAAAATAACTACAAAACAATATTAATAAAAGATCTAAATGGAGTACCCAACCTTAAACTTGATAGACTTCTACCAAAAAACTCTAATATACCCAAAAATTCTCTCTTAAAACTTCTTAAATCTCTTTAACTATATGACATCTACAGACTCTTTCATTTCTCAAACTTAGCATTTTTCTACCTACATAACAATAGCTAAAGTAGAATTGATTAAATATAGACCAATGTTTATATTATACTCTTAAATGATGTTGATATTCTACCCAATCTATTCTCTTCAACTAACCATTCAATAGTCTCATTTGAACTAACTATTAATTTTCCAAAAATCAATATACAATTTCTTCAACCAAGAACTACAAAGGAACAAATTGAAAACTACTAAAACCATACTGAACAAAATCTTCTAAAACTTCTTATTTCAATTAACAATATCACTTATAGATCAGAACTTAATGATATCTGGAATCAAATTAACAAAGCTTTAACCAAAGTAGTCTAAAAATATATTCCTTTTAAAAAAATTAAAATAAACTTAATTCAGAATGAACAACAATTACCTACATTTTTACTACTATATAAACAACTTTAAACAAGTCATTCTACTTAAAACAAATCTAAATAAACCTAACTTCTTTCAAATCTACAACACATATACTAATAAATACTCCAACAACACCACATTATTATCCTCTTGTTTAATACTAACTAACATCAATTCCAATCCTATTAACTTCTTAAATCTCTATACTACTAAAGTCAAAACTCTCAAAACTCAAATTACTAAAGAAAAACAAGAAAATACTCTTAAAGAAATCCAAAACAAATTAGAAGAAAAAAATAACAACTTTCTTCAAAATTCTAAAATCTTCTTTTGCAATGTTCTAGAAAAACACAACAATAATATAAACTTAGATTGCATCCTATCTAACAATATTCTTACTACCTATCCATCAGAAATTAAATAAACTCTTTATTCTTACTTTTAAGACTACTTTAAAGAACTACTCTATATGCCAATTGATAAAAACTCTAAATCCTATGAACTCTACAAACTATATCCAGAAAATAATCAACACTTTACTAATCTATTCTTAGAAATTATTTCTAAAAAATAGAATAAAATTATACATGATCTTTTAAATCAAAAAGCCTCTGGCCCATCTGAAACAAACTATAAATATTTAAAATATTTAAACCTCAAAGCTTAAAACATTATACAGCTTTTCCTATCTAAGTGTCTTATATTATAACAAATATCAACAATATGAAAAACATCCAACATTTTCCTAATTCTAAAAAAATTCTCTTGGAACTTCATACTTGACCAAGTTAAACCTATTTTACTAATTAAACCAATCAAAAATGTTTTATCAAAATTTTTACAACTCATCTTGACCAAACTATTACCCAACACAAACTTTTAAGCAACTTAAATTTTGCCACAACTAAAAACAGTTCAACACATATTCCTATTCAAATTCTATTTAACACAATTGAACATTACAAAACCAATAACAAAGAGGTATAAATACTTTTTCAAGATATGTCTAAAGCATTTAACAAAATCAATATTAAATGTTTACTTGATGTATGTAAACATATAGGAATTCTACAACCTGGTCTAAACTTTATCAAATTTCTTCACTAAAACAAAAAAGTCAGAGCAATCACAGTCTATGGCCTTACAGACCCAATTATATTAAATTCAGGCATTGAACAAGGAGAAACCTATTCTTTATTACTTTGAAAAATCTATTATAACCTAATTCTTAGTTATATAAACTCTAAATATAGCTCAAAACTTTTTAAAATTTTATCATAATCTCCTTTAGAACCAATCTTTTTAACATTATCAACCTCCTCAACAATACCACCTTTTGCTTTCATAGATAATATAGTATGGCACTGTGAATTCAGAAATAATCTACAAAATATATTAGATGATATATCTGACCTTTACCAACTAAATAATATTCAAGTCAACCTATCTAAATCAAATCTCATTCATATTCTACCAAAAAGAAAAATACTTCATAACAATTCTCAAAACTCTTAACCACTTATTTTTAATAATCAACCAATTATACCTTATTAATCTAATAAAACAATTTGATATCTAGAAATTTTTCTAGATAGAAAAGATTCAACCAAACCCACACTTGACAAAATTTTTAACAAAACCTCTTAATTTATCTATATTATTCAATACAAAAAACTTCTTCTTATACAAATATTATAATTATTTAATATTATCCTATCATCATCTTTAGAGTACCTACTTTAAATTTGTTTCTTTTCACAAAACAAACTCCAACAACTATCAAGTATGCTAATAAAATACACTAAGCATATGCTTTACCTATCTACAAATACAAACAATGACATTCTTACTAACTTACAATTACTTAATATTCCAATATGCAATAAACTTATATTACAAGTTGGTAGCAATGTAGGTGTGGCAACCTAGTGAAGTGAATAGGTTGTTAACCCTCAAGTGGCAGGTCTAAGGTTCAATTCCCACAGATAACAAATTTTGGAAATTATACCTGTGTTATGGTAACTGTCTCTTGCCAATTGGTTGGATTTTGGGCATCTGTAATCTTAGGTACACCAAGTCGGGCCCCACCTGACATTGGGAGCTTGGGGCATCTATGCTAAGT